TTCCCTACCCTCAAATTCTCTTTCTTAACTCTTTCAGGGGCCGAGAAAGCGTATTTTGTGCAGGACCTCCGAAAGAGAGAAGCTACTATTAGAGCGAAACTTAGGCACTGTAGTTCACAAATTAAACCACATCGCACCAACATAGAAACGCACAAAAGAGTCGTGGCACCTAATACATTACACTGTGACTTATACATATTCGCGTGAAGTACATACATAAGCTGCACCATCGCCCCTCAAAGAATTAAGCCATTCGCAACGGAAAGCCTTGACGTTCGCGAACATCGTATCGTATGTGCCAGAATATAGTTGAAAGGATAAACACGTACGAATCGCTTTCCGCTGTGAATAAGCCTTTTTGCCGCGAAGTCGCATTCTTGACTCCCCTTTCATTACCTTACATACGTCTTAGTCACATAATCTGCATCATAGCGCGTAATTTCCTCCTCGAAAATTCCTCGAGTATATGCCATTCGGAATACTTGGCGAGTCCAAAACGAAATATCCGCTATATACAATCGCTCGTCTTGGCTTCGAATACGCGGTCTTTCTTTCTTCATTGATTCTCCGTTCAATATTATATTTTGAATGTGTGTGCCTCTTCGTGCCAACTGTTTGCGATGAAGACACGACGAAGATACAGCGATGTCGTTGGCGCGTTTATTCGAAGAGCGCGATTGTTGAAAAAGTATATCAATGAAAGGATTCGAAAAGTTTCAGAAACAATTTTGTACTCTGTAGCACGCAACGAGAAACAATGATAAAGATCTTTCAAATGCGTGTCCCTTTTGAAGGGACGGATCTCTCGTTAATTGCGCGCTCGTGAACGCGAGGAAGCACTCGCGTTTCGGGTGAAGTGGCTCGAGAGAATAAAGGGATCTATCGTGAGATTAAAATGTCGCGTAATTTCTTTCGGTTAAGCAAATACAGCTCTGCGAAATTACCCTATTCTATGTAAAATCTCTCAAGATTTCTTCAGTTAGACTTTGACCACGAAGGATGCTACCGCCACGCGGATGATTCGTAGTGTATTGAATAGGTCAAGTTTTCCGTTCGCTAATTTTATGATCGTGTGAAATTATTTTGATAAAGTACAAAAATGAATTTGTTCTTTTCGATAGTCAGCTAATCGATTTAATACGATCTTATAATTCCGAATTAATTAATATCTTGTAAGATAAATACCAGAGAATGTTAATTAAATACTGTAAACTTAAAAGCTAATTTCATCCGCTAAATATCAAGATTTATAAAAATATGAAATATTTAGTTATAAACATTGCGTTAACGCACGAATAGAAAGAGATTTTCATCGTCAAAACCGACTCAAATTTTCACAAACGCATATATCACAGCGATCCGATATATCTTTATAATGAATGAAATAAGAAAATTGCCGGGCAATTATCGGAACAATCTAAATTCTCGCGAGCATGAACTGAATTGTCTATAGTATTGATGCGCGATAGAGCGAAGATACATATGCTGGAATACATACAATACATATAATACATATAAAAGTAGAAAATTTGGTGGCAGTATAGAGATTGTGTAAGGTGAGAAACGCGGTGAAAGGGAAATGCAATCGTATTTCGTGAAACGCTAATATTTTTGTTGTTTTGTGCTTCGTTTGCGCCGAAATCGGCAAAAGCCTATCTGATCAACAAGATCATTGACACGATCGTCGATCGTCCAGGTCCTCTCCTCGTCGTCTCTACTGATGCTAAGATAACATAAAAAAAAAAGAAATACAACTTGTACACAAAACAGGAGATAAAGGAACAGTTTACGGTTCGACACGATCATATCTGGCTCCACTTTACACGAAAACTCCTCTTTGAGGATATCAGATCGACTTTGAACGTATCACTGAAGTGTCTCTTCAGATGTCTCTCTATTTCTTTCTATCTTTGTCGATATAGATATTTTCAACGAGATAAATCTCTCCAACTTGAATTCATGGAATTTTCAACAATTATCAACGACCAGGATATCATCTGAAGGTCTCTTCGTGCAACGGACATGTTAAACACGCTATATGTTTGATTATTCCGGCTGATCCATCATTTCTCAGTTTTACCGCCGACTTCCTCAACCAATCTTCTTCTCTCCCTTTTCAAGCTTTTGCCTTTCTTTGAGATCCGAAATCGATGTATGTGATTGAGGTCGTCGAGCATCCCGACCAGCTTGCGCTCGCTCTTTTGTTCCTACTGACGACCACTCCGGACGATTGACCATAACGAGATTCCCCGCTCGTCTACTCCAGACGCGCTTTGTAGCTGGTCTTCCAGATCTCGGCGAGCGTCACGGCACTATGGAATCTGTGGAAGATGCACAGTGGCAGAGTGACCCTTTGCACGATAGCCCAAGCCAGGAATCCGTAGAAATCGAGCTGCACCGGGTTGGCGATGACCTTCTGAGCCTCAAAGGTGTAGATCACCCACATAGTTACATTGCAGATCAGCAGGAAAGTGACAACCTGCCTGCCGGGCTTGCTGCGATCGTGCTCCGGCAAGTGAACCCGCCTGCGCGATACATCGGCGATAAACAGCATCTGGAGGACCACCTGGGCGACTGAAAGCAATCCAGTCACCATCACCAGCAAATTCGGTTCGTGCGTAAAGGCCGCCAGGGAGCCGGCAATCACGCTGAAGACGGCGTAGATGAAAAGACCGAAGGCTGAGACGCGCAGGAGGATATCGTTAAGATCGCTCTGCTCCTCGGCTTTGAACTTGAGACTCTGCACGCGGATGAAGCCGATGATTATGGCAATGATGGATAACGCCATTAGTACGCAGTGAGACACGTCGGCGAGATAGATCGCGAGCAAACCCAGCTCCGGATGATGAATCAGTACGAAGAAGAGTATCAGGCATATCAAGGAACCAACCAGAAGAAGCAGTCCGAAGAAGAGACCTTTGCTCGCTCCCACGCAATCGACTCTGGTGTGACCTGATAATACTTTATGTTAAAACTCGATTCTTAAATAGATAGAAGGTAAATTCATATTTTTTACATTATATCGGAAATAGAAGAATTCTTTGCATGTGTGATCCAGTATATTCAAAATTAACATAATGAAAATATTATAAAGAAAATGCAACAATACCTGCATGAGCAAGAGCGACGGCTCTTCGAGAGAGCATGGCCTCCAGACGACGTTCAAGATCCGCTTCGGTTTGATGAGGCCAACGCGGATGCCGACCGATATGCTTCCACATGACATAGATCACCGCCGCTCCGATCAAACTGTATTCGATTATAAATGGGAACAAGTACGGTGCTGCGTCCTGAACAATGCTTCCCATGATATTGACGCGGCCACATGAATTGGACACCATTCCGTCTTCTGTCAAAGCCTCCGCGTAGATACCTAAATTCGGGCTCCAGTATTCGCTATTGTTTGTCAAGTTGCTCACGTCAAAGATCTGCGGTACCTAAAAGAAGCGGGCGAGTTCAATCACACGTCAACGGTATTCATTTTCAGAGACGTAATGAAACTAATTCTAACCTGATTATCCATATCGCCTTGCGGCACATTCATGAACTCCATAATCTGAGACCATAATGTGGTAGTGGACGGAGTGGTGGTACTGGTGGTGCTCGTTGTAGTTGGAATAGTGGTGATCCTCTCGGTGGTCGTTGTGGAGGTAGTGGTGGAAGTGCTAGTAGTTGACGGTGTAAACGTGGTCAGGATAGTCGACATGGTCGTTGCCGCGCTAGTGGTCAGATTAGGCAATATCGAGGTGGTAGTTGACGGTGTCGTCGTTGACGGATTCGTCCAAGTGTTCGTGGACATGCTGGTCGGCGTTGTAAACGCATCCGCGATCGATCTTGCCGTTGTCGTCATCACGCGGCCCAGAGCGGCCACGGTCGTGCCGGTCGTGACAGTCGGCGCGATGGTCGTCGACCTCGTAGAGGCCACGAGAGGAGCCTCTCGTAATTGCGCCATGTCACGTGGCTCGGTACCCAGTATTGCTCCGGCGTTTCGCATCGAGTGCTGCTTAATGCTCTCTGCAAGTGTCGGCGTGTTATTGGCATGTCGACGCGTTATCGCCGAGAAGTGCTTAAATCGTGCGACTTCAATCGACAAAGTCTGCAAATAGATTGCTTACCGAGAATCCCCGCTTGAACCTGGCCTAGTTTTTTATGATACTGAGTGATCTCCTTGAGACTCTCCAGAACCAGCGTGCGTATCCATACGCAGAGATTCGTCGCGACCACGTGCATGAGACCGAAACGAGCGATGACTTTGAAGCGATGAATGTTCAACTGCGAAGAGAGATAGAATATCGTAATGGCACAGTGTGCTCTTTTTATTTCTTCTTTCTATTCATCTCTATCCATGTGTTTTTTTTTTATTTCGGATTACAAATACATACCCGGGAATTCATGAAGATAAAGTACATTTGCATAAAGGTGAAGATCATTTGCAATACGGGATTAACGCCTTGTAATATCTGATAGCAAGGTGACGTGGGTGGTACTTCGAAGAATGCGCCGAATTCCAAACCGTTGTATACCATAGTACCCAGTCCGAAAGCTGACAAATTAAGTTATGTTTAATTAGTTTATCGATATTATTCGCATTGTTTTTTAGGAACAATTTTTTAGTATCAGTAAAAATTTCAGACTTACCTATTGCGCCAATTCTTAGGAAGAAACTTCCATGACTATGGTCGTTTTGCGTGGTTTTTCGTTTTCGCAAGACTCGCGTAGCTACACCAGCTTCAACATCAGTTGCATCCTATGAAAACGATATATAATAAGATATTTAACTGCAAAAATCTGATATTAAACTCGGAATTTAATTGATTTTACGTTGATAAAAAAATATGCGCACAAAATGCTTACAAAAATATGATGTATAGCGTGAAAATAATTAAGTTTAAATATCTTTTTTTTTTTAATTTATTGCTATAAGCAGATTCGATTTTTTATACGATCTAAAGAAATTTGTCTTCGCGCTCGAAATGTTATAGATCCCAAAATACGATTGATAGCAATGATTACGTCAGCGTCAAGAGTATCCGCATAATTTAAGTGCCACGCGCTAACTAAAATACATTTCATGGGTAACATGCCATTGCCGTAACCGTGAAACTCGCTCGAGAAACGAAATTAGTAACCTGTTGCGGTGCGTCACGATTCTGTGAAAACTTTACTTTAGATAAACCGCTATAAATAATTTTGTAACTTTTTTTTCAGAAAATTGCATCGTAATTAATAAATCGTTAAAAAAATTTCTCTAAATTTTAGAAGGCTATACAAAAACTATTAAATAAATAATGCATAATAAATCGAATATTATAGGATGCAGCGATATTTTGAATAAACGAAATATATAATATTGATTATTAATTGAAATTGTTAATTGAGTAGGTTGATCTGGCTCATTAGTTGCTAATATTTTTAGAAAAGCTGAAATTTTCAGAAAAACCTGTGTTTCCTTTTTGCTCTTCGGCTGTTTTTGATCCTTATCTTTCTTGTCTTTCTTCTTATTCTTGTCCTTAGCTTCCTTAGAGGTCCAGCCAGTTTTAGGTGGCCTTGGTGGCGGTGGCGGTGTATCACTTCCTCTTGCACAACAGGCGCTTTCTTGAAGGAGGAAGCAGAAGACGTACAACAGAAACAGGATACTCATGCCATAAAGATATGTGAAGAATCCTTCGTAATAGTAGAGCGGTAGTTTGTGCGTCACCACTTCGCTTATCACGTAAGTGATGCACACGACTACGAGCAGTTTCGCATAGATGAAGCTCATGATGATGAAGAGTGATGTTCTGAAATGAAAAATTTGCCTGTAACTCTTCTTGCACTTATTATTAGAAAAAAATAATGGCTATCATTTCGTAATAATACGAAATATGACACGTGATTCAGTTTGTGTGTGATACATTAAAATCAGTTGCATCAATAGGCAATAGTTTCGTTTAATAGTTTCGTCGTGTTTGTTGTAATAAATAATGATCTCTTTCTAAATAATGATTTTACCCTTTTTTTTGAATAATTTGCACTCTGCTATTCCGTCGTGGCAGTATATCTTTTCTGCTTATATTACTGTCGATGAATGGTATCACTTCGACTTCCATGATGATTGTTGCAAAATAAATTTGCACGCGACGAGAAATAATATACTTTAAATTATCTTTTTAAACGGATGTTTTTTGCTTTCTTTACGCAGAAACTTCTAGTTTTGTATCTTGCACAATCACTGTTTTAAATTTCATTATTATTAATATTATACTATATATATTTAATTGTTTATTAATTTAGTAATTGCTTGTTAAAAAAGCTTCTTCCTAAATGTTTTACATGTCATCTATACCGTGTCCTACTTCGATTAATAACGAGCGTCGACTGTTGCGCCCGTGATTGCGCAAGTCGATTCACACGAGTGTGCTATTTCTGTTTTCGCTTTTCAACTATGATGACGTCTTGACTCATCGAATTTTCATTGTTTTCACCGAATATAACTGTGTGTGTCCTCGATATTCTATTTAACCTATCTATTAAAAATTTTACTTTTATTATTATTAACAACAGATAGTTTATTATAAGAGAATCATTAACGAAAATATAATTGAACAACCGAGCTATTAAATATTATATTTTATTTTTATTACGTTTTATTGTATATCTCGAAAAAGTTACATGTGTCACCAAATTATAATGTATTTTTGATAGAAACTGATACGCACAAGTTCACTTGATAACATTAAATTACTGATTAGTAAAAAATATATGCAAAACGCATATATATAATACCAGAACTAAATTAATATTTAATAAATCATGAATATTTTTCTTAGGAAAATATTCAACGATAATTCACGAATAAATTAGCAGTTAATTTCGATTGTGCACCGCTTGATCTCGGAATAAACGATTATTCCGAATGCGACAACGGGGTCGATCTTCGATAACAGTTGACCTGGTGCATTCGCTTTTAATCGACGAGCATAACTGCCGCTCGAACATCTCGGACGCACTTAACCGCCCGCCTCATCCTCGTTACGCTCTTTTTCTCGCTTAAAGGTTAAGCGTCGCAATCGATGGTCTATATATAATTTCGATCGCAAACCCGATGCGCGATCTCACCAAGAATCAATCGCGCGGGAAATGAGGCTTTTCCACAGGAAAACGAGGCCGCGCGCACGCAGGGGGGACGATTCCTCTCCGCTTCGCTTCGCGAGATGCAACGACGCCCGCGCGTATCGCGACAACACGTATGCATTACGTCTACGTCGAGAAGGGCTTAACCGCCCTTTGTCATCGTGGCATTTCAGGGGTTGGGGTGCAGACTTTATTGTGTCCCGTACGGAGCCTGTACACTCGTGCCAGGGATTTTTTTCCTTCCCGGATGTATGAGATAGGTGGGATGCGTGTTCGAGTAGAGGCGGTGATATTTTCCGTCTTTTCACGAGAGTTCGTGGATTGTCGCTTTTTTATTTAAAACTGTTGCTTCTGAAGCGTTTTACTTTCTCGTGTTTTAATTTATTTTTTAATATCAAAGGGAGATTCATCGGGAATATTCTTCTAATTATAGCTGTTTCAGTTAATTGGTGATTTTATTTATCGAAAATATTGCGAAAGATCGTCATTTCAAGATTGTATCGTTTCTTTTATTATTGCATATTTTTGTAGCTAAACAGCCCCCGAATTAAAACTGTTAATTTTCGTTAGAGAAAAATTAAATATACATTTATAATATTAATCAAGGAAACTGTGGAAAAAAAGACATCTGATATTTTGATACGTTTTATACAAGGTGACTTATTTTAATTTATCCACTCAAATATTTCAAAACCTGTGAGTCTAAAACTTACAGGTGTTGAGATATTTGAATGGATAAATTAAAATGAGTCACCCTGTATACGTTGTCGCTTATTTTATCGGCGCGCAAATTTATATTAGACAAGCAAGCGTATTAATTACATTCACGCGAATTCGTTGATATTAATTAGCTGAGGAGTTGTATAACTAAGCCGTTCCTAATTGGATTGATCGGGCAGATCGCGGCTATTGTTCGCCACAATTGGGTTGGCAGGCGGAACGTTTCAATGACAATGGACGAGTTTCTCGCTCTGGGTATTGCTCAGTATCTCAATCTATTTGCTTCATTACGCGGACTCTTGATACCATAGTCACCATAGAACGGCACAACTCTAGGAAATTATTTCCCCGCAAGTTCAGAAAATGTATGTTACTACATTTATATCTATTTGAAATTAAAAGCAACGTGAAAAGATTATTATTACATACGCGATTTTTTTTATCCTTACGTTTTAGTTTTCGTGACTATAGATTTTGTATGCGCGCGAGATTGGAGATAAGTTAACGGACAGCTGCTTTAAAAAGGGAAGGAATTATCGAGAAAAAGCGGATCGCAATCTTATTTCCTGTACGGGAAAAGAATGACGTTTTGTACAGTCTTTTTCCAATTGCGAACAAGGAGCGTGCAAGAAAATGGTAACAGTAGCGCGGACGCGTAGAACGGTCCAGACCGGTCGATATCTCGAAGTATCTACTTTCGGTGCTCCTCCCTGTTTCCTCGGCCTCTTATGGGCTTAACCTCGTCTCATCCGCTTTCAAGACTCTATCATTTCTCAAATCCTTTCAAACGGAACTTTACTCGAGAATTAAGCTGTCCGCGTACATTCGAGTCGAGCTTAAAAGTCGCGCTCGTTTAAATCGTTGTCATCCAACATCACTGTATATCGTGTACTACAGAATTACGGTGTCAATTAGCAAGCATTGAAAAAGTTGTTCCAGCAATTTAAATACTAATTTAATCTAAATACGTAATTTATCTCAATACGCAATACATTTTACTTCCATATTTTACACGTAATCTTTATACTTTTTACGATGACCTCGATAGTTAGATCTTCAATCATTTACATTCTTTACTTTGCCTGTGACAACAAACGAGAGAAACCGTCCGTAGTAATTTTATAATTGGCAATAACCGGATTTGCATCGATTCTTCTTGATTGATACGGACCATACCATCAGTTGACTTATTTTCACACTGAAAAATCAATCTCGAACAATCCTAGTTATTATAATCATTTAATGAATTCTTTAAATTCTTTAAATTCTTTTACAAAAATTAGTTATTTATATTTTAAATATAATCTATTATACTATGTGTGCAAGTCGCATTAAAACACTTTTTAATTAGAAATTTGGCGAAACCGGTCTTATGTGACACGGCACTATTACGCAAGACCTTTATTAATCACCGGACTTTGATATAAATTGCGCATTTACGACAACACGGTCGGAAATCTCAATTTCTGAGTTAATTAAATTTAAGTGAAATTACACTCGCGCGAGAGATTTGTGGCGGCACTGTGTTGTGTGGCGGATGCAACGCGTGGACTGCCGATGGCATTGGCTCGAGACCGTGTTAATGCAATTGCGACTGCGGCTGTGTAATCCGAGATACCTATTGCTTCGTCGCGGGATGCACATATGGCTACACTTGTCGTCAAATCGATATTTAGTCAATTGAAAAGTAGCGCGCGAACTGTCCGATTTATCCCCGACTCTATATAGTTTTTCTATCATCGTCTGTGAAGCCATCGCCTACGTCACCTTGATGTTTTTTGTAAAGATTCAAAATAATATTTGTAAAAATTATTTCATAAGAATCGAAATTTTCCGATTCGTTTACGTTCTATTCTTTGAGCGACATTTCTCCAGAGATCAATTAATTGTCATTCGTCGCACGTGTACGTATATTATGCACGTCGTTCATAGACGTGATATAAGCGTCACGTATTCAAGCTGTGCACGGGTTAACGAACTACGTCGTAAATAGAAATGCAAGCCAAACTCGACTATCTCGTTTCCATTTCGAGCCCCTGTTACTATTTTCTCGCAGGCCGGATGTTCTTTTAGAGTAGAGCGAAGGTAACGTGTTACCAACGCTTTCTATCCTTTTGTAACTATTCAGAGATAGTCCAACCTTCAACGCATGTTAATTTAATACAAATTAGTACGAATATTCGAAATCTATATATATATATATATATGTAGGCAGTAGGAATTTTTTATTATGTGCTGCGAAAGATTACTTTTGCGGTTTTTACGTTTCAAAATTTAATATCTTATTGTGTATATCATTTTTTTTTATTTAATACCATGTTATTTTACTTAGATCGTAAATCGTAGCATTATGCAAATAATCTCTTTTGCATACTTTTACAATCGGTATTTGCATCTTTTCAATATTCAATTTTATTTAGTCTCGTAGCGTTATGTTCGTGTTATGACTGTATACGATCCGCTACCTTTCACGCTTCAGAGACGAATGTTTTCGTGTAGACAGACGCATCAATATTTCTTTATTCATAAAGTTACAGTATTTGTGCTGTTACACACGCAACACGAGTGTAACCGGAAATTAATATTGCGTACCACGAAACAACTCGTTCTCGAAAATTGTAGGTATCGTGTTTTAAGCATCTAATTAATGACAAAACAACAAAAAATATTAGTTTCTTCATAAATGATTGTAGCTTTAGTATATTTATATAATATGGCGAAAAATTAAATCTTTATGTAATCAATCATTATAGTTGATTCTATTCTACAATTAGTAATTTCCTCTTTTAAAACGCAAAATAAAATTCCAGTTTAAATCACTCTCGAATTAATTGACTTTTATTATGCTTTGACCGATTAGAATCAGCGTTTTGCGTATCGTAAGTCACGCCAGCCCTATGGCTGTAAATCCGCAAACACGTGATTAACGTGTTGTTAAATAATTATACTCCCTTAACGAGTACGCTGCAATCGGCCTAAATAACGTTTATACTTGACCTAGATTTCATTCTTGCATGAAAAAAACGTCCGGTGCTCATAACTATGTATCAGCAAAATTATTCAGAACAAGACTACAGTGAATAAAAAAGTATTTGCAACCTATATACGTCTTCTTGGGATAATTTTGTGTAAGAAAGAAGATTGTGTGTTGCTACAAAATGTTTTATTTAATATATCAATACAAAACGATATATTCTGTTAGAAGTGCTTTGTAGTATAATATGTATTCTCTCTTCTGTATAGAATTATCCCAAAAGAGATCGGATGGTGCGAATACTTATTTTACCAACTATACGCATTAGCGCTCGCGTTTCGCGAGCGTGAGATGCAAATGGGGCGATTCTGAAATTCAGATCCTTTCATTCGTTCGTCTCAACAATGTGCGCCTTACTTTTTCGCCGGTGTCGATCGCACGTTCTTCAGCTCCATTTCTTTGTTCGCGGCATTGTTCTTCTCGGCGTTGTCCTGTGCATTCGGTGGCGAGTTTTGCGGATTGAGGGGCCTGGTGACCGGAAGTGTCGCCGTGTTGTCGCCTGCGGCGGCCGCCTCTACCTCCACGGTAGCGACTTTACAGTCACCACCACCCACCATCGTGGATTTCGTCTCGTCTCACAAGCTCCTGACGATTGTCAAGAAGACACTCAACGATCTTGTAACAAATCGATCTAATTCCCCCCGCGTACTCAAGTGCCCCCTACGTGGTGGTCGTGTTTCGGAGTGCTGTGGTACCTACGTCGCCATTTTGGTGCACGCCTCGGTATAAGTCGGGTTCGTTCAAATCATCGTATTAATCTAAATCAACTGATTATTGCGAAAGAATAATTTTTACATTAGTAGATAATTTTCGAACTGAAAATATATCTGTCATTTTCTATCTTCGATTATTTGTTTTCGCCGGAAGCGCCTGCGCTTTGACTCTATCAATTTTTTTTCTTTTTTTTTTTTTGAATTGTTGAAGTCCTCTCGCTGAAGCGCAGAAACGGAGCGCACTTTCTCTTGTAATTGCGTATTGCGTAATATAATCAATAATATATTAAAATATGATATGTGTTGAAATATGGCATACTCAATATTTGTATCAAGCCAACAATGAATAATTCTGCGTTCATCTATAATCTCCAATTTCTAAATTGCATCACTTGTTTATTTTTCACAAAAGCGAGAAAGGGAGCTCCGCGTAGCGTTCCAGCCACGGCAGAATCGCCTACGCAGAATCGAGAGCGAAAGAACAGAGAACCATGGAGCTGCAGAGGAACCAGGAAGAATACCCGGACTGTACCAAGAGGCGATTGAACGGAAGCGAGAGTTGGACAAAGGCAAAACAAGAGAGAAAGAGAGAGAGAGAGAGAGAGAGAGAGAGAAAGAGAAGCAGAGATACGCAATATTCCTAAAGTCTCTGATCTCGCGTACTTGGTCGAACGAGCTAATTGAAAATCCCGTGCACACACAAGCGCGCGGCTGAATCTCCCAGGATCGGGCACTGTACGCTCCGCTGACCGACGACCACCACTTTGAGCATCGCGACGCACTCGCGACGACAGATGATGGAAGAGACTCACCTGCGAGAGGCGGTTGGTTGAAGGGCCTCGCGGTGACTGCGCCCCGGCTTCGGCGGAAAAGGGTGTGAAGCGTGGATGCGGAGAGATGAGACGGAGGGCGGATTGGGATCCCCGGAGAGAGAGAAGGTGTGGACAAGGGACAAAGACGGAGAAAGATAGAGAGAGAGAGAGAGAAAGAAAGAGAACTGATGGACGGATGCGGCGGCGCCGACGGAGGGTGGACCACGGTTCAAGGGAGACAACGAGAGCCCGGACTCCTCTACTCACGCGCGCTAAAGCGAGCCGAGACGAGAAGATGCGAAGCGAGAGAGAACGAAGGGTTTAATTCGAGCGGTTGCTGAGGAGTAAGCGGGACCGCGCTGCAATCAGTCGGGCCGTGTTATCGGAGCGCCACGAGAATGGGGGTAGAATCACGATCGCCGCCCCCAGCATCCCGGAGACTGAGGCTGGCCGGGAGATCTCTTCCCGGGCAGCGGTAGCTTCTCGCACAAGCGCACTACGAACTGCGAGAGCTTTTGGTCTATATAGAGCCGCGGGGGTGTTCTTCCCTTTCTATCTCTTTCTCTCTTTGGCTCTTTCTCACTCTCTCTCTCTCTCTCTTTCTCTCTCTTCCTCGAGATGATGTTTCCTGTCCTCCTTGTATCAACTTATGGTACGTAATGCTCCGTATTCCCCGCCTCGGCCGATGTAATTCCGCATCTTGGTGGATTTTTTTCTTCGCGCTGTCGATCACTTCTTAAAATTCCTCTTTAAAGATATAAACGCGTCTTGGGCGTGCAAAATCGCGACAAAGAATTTGCGGATGTTTAACGACATACCGTTCTTTACAGCGTTTTCCTAAAGGAAGAAATGGTCTTTCTCGTCTCTCGTTGGAGGAAACGAAATGGTTTCGTCGAGAGCACTTCTCATTTCTGCATGCATTTTCTCGTAACATCGGTAATATAAATCGCATGACAATGTTTTTGTCATTAGTTACACATTCTCTCATGCGTAAAAATGAGAACACTTCCATTTCTTTGAGTACACTAGTGGGCTAATTTCATCTGCATACATAGCTGGCGCAATGTTCTTCCGTGTTCTCGTTCTAAACCTCATCTTCAATTCTCCTTTATGATTCTTTTTTCGCTTGGGTACCTCAGAATATCACTTCTTTTTCAGAAAATCTCGCATGAATTTTTCCTAGGTGCAAAATCGTTTTTTTCTTGATACTTTTCAAGAAATAGAGCTTTAGAAACTGCGTTGCCATTTCCAATAAACCGTTTGCGATTCATAAATATTTTATATTGCTTAATTATTTATTTATAGATATTTAAATCTGAGTAATGTATATATATATATATACACAATTATTTGAAATGTTGCGTAGATCTCCAAATTATTCACGGCTACAAATTCTTTACAATCGGTGTCGACGATTATTTATTTAGAGAGCGGATATCTTCTCGTTTTCTCGCATTGAAGCATATTGGGTATCTTTCTCTAATTTCGGTTGATTACAATTGCTTAGGGAGAAGTTCTCTCTGTATTAAGAAATTTTCTTCTGTCGTTCCATAAATTTTTTCATAGATATATCCCGCTGTTTTTCTCGCGATTCATCTTCATTGACGCGCCCGTCGCCCTAGATATGCTCTCAATGACATCTTATTATTTGCGGACTCAAAAGTTTTAACTTCAATTTATATGTACATTAAAAATTGCTCTTAGAATTTTATGGTTTGAATTTTGACTCGGACAGAGAAATATATCTCTCAACATACGTATAATGAAAACAGAATCTCTCTCTGTTCGTACATAAGGAAAGTGACTAGAAATTAGTTATTAGGAGATTACAATATATTGATGGGGAGGAAGATAATTTTATAAAAATATAATGAATTAAATAACGAGCCTCTTTATTCAAACGATGCAAAAATATTGTGCAAGAGCTCTCGACCTAGTATCCATTCGAGTAAGAAACCCTGCTGAATTCTGCCTAGATAAAAACGAATTTTCACAAAGTCGAGGAGACTCGAAACGAGTATTCGATTCAGGTATCGCCTCTACTATCCCACGGGAAGATGTCGAGAGGCGGGTGCAGTGGGTGGACGGTGGTGAGGTAGCGCTAGTGAGGGGGCTACAGGGATAGGGGGGCAAAATGCTCCGTGGTTCTGCGACCCACTGACCCGCTCGATAACGCTGCCACCGAGGTCACTGACCTTCCTCACGCGCGAAATTCGCGTCGGTATGACTCCCTCTCCGCATCGTTTCGTTTCTCGGCGCGAAGTCAAAGGATCGTACGCGACAAGTAAGTGTCTCTTGATCGCGTGACTCCGATGCCCGGCCGAACGACCGATGAATGACGAAGAACGAAAGTGTGCGCGGCTAGACGCGGAAGACGGTGATTGTCAATTTGTAATGCCGGAATTGGTTTTCGATCCGCGGCGCCCGAGGATTCGGCGGAATTTATTGCGCGGCCGCGTACACTACGTTGGAATGGAGATGAGAAGCCACGGTGATTGGAAAAAAATACTGCTTGTCGAAAAACTCGAGATCGTCGATCCTTCGCGAATGCATGTAGAGAAGAGACCGCTGCATACACGAGTAGATATGCGTACGCGTATTTTGTTTCCAATATTTTAAGATAGT